ATAATATTTTTTATGATAAATAAAAATAAAAATAAAAATATAATAATCATTTAATATTTTAAAAGGTAAAAAACGAAATTAAAATTTATTAAATAAATATTAATTAAAAATTGTGACAACAAATTTAAAAAATTAAAATGGAAAAATAGGTCATAAAATTAAAAATTTTCAATTTATTATCGGTTTGATATAAAAAAACTACTTAAACTAACTTTTTCAATTTACTAATAATTTGGACTATAACCGCTTTCTATTAATTTTAAATCATTAAATAAAAATAAAATTAAAATTAAAATTAAACCCATTAACAAAAATATTTAGAGAATCCAAATACTCATATTAATCAAAGTTCTTTCGTCTTTGTTCTTGTGATAGAGACTCTTAGACTGAGAGAGAGGAATTTACAAGAAGTTTAATGGCTGCTATGATTATGATTATCTTTAAATATGTTAGAGTCAGTTAAACTATTAAATTTTAATTTTAATTTAAGTGTTAAAAACATATGATAATTAATAAAATAATTAATATTTATTATTTAGTACGTTAAAATTAATTTATAAATAAATATTTTTAAATATCATAATTAATTATTTAAAAATGTATAAATTAATAAAATTATAATGAAATTAGTGACATTAACCAAAAAAAAATTATAATGGCAGTAATCTTAACTGTCCCAAGGGTACCTACTGTATCTGTAACACCTTCAACTGAAAAGGAAAAAGGAAGAAAAAAATGGTAAACCTTCTAGAAGGTTTTAAATCAATAGCACTACGGCGGTGCCCACTTGGTTACGGCGGTGCCCACTTGGTACAGGCGGGATTAAATTGGGGTAAGTCAAATGAAGAATAAATACATATATGGTGTGATAAATATGAGACACGTTCTAAAAATTGTTTGAGAAAATTTTAGTATTGAATTATGTGAAAGTGGCTTAAAAATACACGTGGACAATTTAAGAAGAGAAATGTATATCACTCAATTTATCCACAACATTAATGCATTTGCACTTAGTGATGATGTTACTAGTAATAGACGTTGAGAAACAAATTTTGAAAAAGAAGAGAAAAAAGTGGCTAGAAGAGGAAAAAGTA